CGCCCGTGGGGCCGCGAGGCGGCCGGCGGCAGCCTGAGTCCCGCCCGGCGGGGCCACGGGCCAGCGGCGGCAGCGTTGGCCGGCACTGCCCTCTCCTTTCTCGCGCTCCGCGGCGAGGCAGGCTGGATACGGCATCGACAGAGAAGGGCTTTTGACGGAATACTGTGGGAAAAACATCCCTTGGGGTGATGGACTGTAAAAAATACAGGGATATAGCACCTCTCCCAACTCCTCTTAGGCGGGCAAACAAAGCCGTGGCACACGTTTCATGCCCGCTGATGAATGCCCCTTACCGGTGGCACACATGCCCCCGTGCCCATTGCTAGGTTTATCCGGTTGGTATCACCAGGTGGTTGTGGCCATGGGAAGCGGAATGACTCAGCAGGGCACTCGGTTTCACACCCAAGGCAGAGGGGCATCTCTGGGAATGCACAGCAGGCAGCTTGCAGGRACACGGCCAGCTGCTCCTCAGCTCGTCTCCGCCGCCGAGCGCTCGTCCTTTCGCTCTCAGTAGCACCAGATTGGGGAGTGCACCCAGATAGGGGAGTGCACGGTCCTCTCTGCAAGGGTGGGYGCCCAGTGAGGCATTGACACAAAAAAAAAAGTCAGATTTGTTCAGTACAGTTCTGGTCCAATGCTGAATAAGGCCTGGGCATTTGCATTCCYCATTGAGCTCCCTTGTAGCTCACCAGCCTCTTCTGCAGCGATGTAAAGAAAGCAAAAGGTATTGGARATATGTGTCAAAGAGATGAGTGAGTGGCACAGGGACAGCAAACATACTGAGAATATTAGAAGAAAGCCCAGCAGAACATGCCTGGGGCCCCATTTACCAGCAGTAACTAGAGGCAATAACTGATCTAAGTTGTCTCCTTCATTAACAGATTGATGTGATCTTCTGCTCTTTTACCTCACTGATACTCAAGCTTTGTGCCTAGTATTTTTTTTCATTCTAGTCACAGGAGTTATGTGAAAGCCCCTGTCAATCACCTGTGGAAAACTCTTCCAGACCTCACTGTAAACAGAGATAAAACAAGATGAAAAAGAGGCAAAGTGACAGCACTTTACTCAAAAAGAACTAGGTTTCATTTGGGACCAGCAAGCTCTGTGTCTCTGCTACTGAGGTGACTGTACATCCCTTGACCAGCCGGTTCTTTAGGCTCATTTTCTCCTCTAAGACGGGGCAGTTGTGCTACCAGCTTTGCCTGACACTTCCACGTTTACTTMAGCAGCATTCCCATTCTCTCATGCCTGGGCCTGTGGAAGGGATAAACACCTGAATGCTGCAAGGGTTGTAAGAATATTGTCATGAAAATAAAGCAAAGCACAAGCCTATGAATAGCATTAAATTCTCAGCCATCGGAAGGGTAGCTGAATCAATCAGAAAGAAACTAAATTCACCATGAGACAAGCAGAGAATGGATTAGCCTTTGCTTGACAGATGGTGCCAGGGACTGATGTTTTTATTTCCCTTGCAAAGGAGCTTAGACAGGGGGGACAAGGAGGGTGAGATAGGGCACAGTTAGCAGAATGAAGCAGCAGGCCGCCACAGATCTGCTGGAAAATCCTGAAAATATCAAAAGCAATTTCCAATTAGCTAGTAAGGGACATGCTACATATCAGCTACATGATGAAAAACRGGAATAGCAATATTGTGCTGCGAGGCACTTGTAATTTTCAAAGCAGCTTGAAAACATTTATTAATCCTCCTTTGTTAAAGGGAAACACAGTATAGTCTGCAACTTGTCCCTTCACTTTGCACATCAGGTTTCAGGAAGACCTGGGCCCATTCCATAGCCGATTCACATCTGAAGAGCTCAAATGACTCTGGAGGAACCAGCCTCCGATGCAGGGTGACTAGGCAGAAAAGGCTGTGCTAGGTCCGGGACTTAATGAACCAGACAGACAGAGGATCCGTTTGTGCCCAACGACCTTAGTAGGGCCTGCCTTTCATATCTGTTGAATCTAAATCCAGTCGCTGCAGCAGTGTGCGTGACACTGAAAGAAGTATTTGTTTACTGGAAAAGTTAGGTGACCGAGAATTTGATCACAAACTCAGGGAGCTGCACAATAAAGCCCAGACATTGAGTACTGATTTAATTAGAACCCTTGACAAAGCCTCAGCAGAGTTCAGAGGCACCAAGTTGGTCCCACTGATTTACTACGTGGACTCAGCGGCTCTGAAGGATGAATGTTGCTGCTTACYGGTTTCACTTCTACTCAGTTTCCAGAGCCGCAAATAGTTTTCTAGCGCATGCATGAATTCCTGCATGGCAAAGTTGGGGCTACCAAAACAGGGATAGCTGGCAATAGGACAGTGATTTTTTCCATTGCTACTGCTCCAGTGCCCAGAATTTCTAACCACAGACAGGAGGCAGCTGAAGTGCAGAGGACTTTGAGGCTATGACCTGAGGGCCACCTTGGCTCCTACCTCTCTCCTGATCAAGTTCTCGACATTGCCTCATCAAAGGCTGATTCATTCACTAGCTGCTCATTATTTTAAAAGGTCTGCTGATATCCCGTATTTTTACAGCAGAGATGTGTCAGCTTGCAGCTTCATTCTATAAAAAGTAAACCTAGTGACATGAAATATTTTTAATTTCTTTTTAGTTTTCTCTCAGCTGACTGTTGACTGTCAGCACCCTGCAGATCATAGGCTGAAACCCTTTGGCTTTGCTGAAAGCTGGCATGGACACAGGTGCCATTTACAGACACTTTTACAGATGGCTCTGTTTTCTAGGGTGAATTAATTTTACAGTTAATCTCAAGGTCAGAAC